GGCTAGGATCTGGAACCAACTTCCAAGCGAAGTGGTGCTGGCTCCTACCCTGGGGGTCTTTAAGAGGAGACTAGATGTACACCTTGCTGGGGTCGTTTGACCCCAGTACTCTTTCCTGCCATGGCAGGGGGTCAAACTCGATGATCTGCTCAGGTCCCTTTGGACCCTAGAAACTATGAAACTATGGTCTCATATTTTAACTGTTATGAAAATGCAGTCTTCCTCCTCCTGTTACATGAAACGACTAGAGCTCTGGGAAGCTTCTTGGGGTTTGTAATAGTATTTTTTGTATCCCACGTCCTTATAAAGAAAAGGACTTTCCCTACCTGTCCATTGAGAGCTGAGCCACCAGTGTTACATCAGTGTCCTCTGAGGCATGCTCATACTCATAGTGCAGAAAATACAAATGAGTGCGATGAACAGTGAAGCGTTCTCGACGAAATTCATAGCACATATCATCCTCGTCAAGCTCAGAAAGCTGTTTCTGGAGCTGCAAACAAACAGCAGACAAAAACATAGTCACTGCATATTTCCTTTAGAAAACAACAGAGGATGAATTTGGGGGTTCCAGGCTTGACACAACAGCAGTGATTGAACTGTTAAAAATATATATATTTTTAAAAGATTCACTATTTATGCAAAGCAGACTTAAAAGAAAATAAAGGTGGATGTTGCCTGTGCTGACATTGTAGCAGCAGTACAACACTGTTCTCAGTTGTAAACAACTGTTGACATCAGTGATAAAACATACAGCTGAAATGTTTCTTTTGGCTACTTCATGGAATAATTACTGGCCCCTTTTCAGATATTACTCTTTAGTCTTTTTTTGAGTAATGCAAAGATGCCCTTTGATTTCAGCTGGCTTTGGACCAGGCCACAAATCCTTCATTCTGCCAAAGTACTGAGCTCTCGAAATATCCCTTAAAAGAGATTACTTTCAGAAAGACTATGATCCAGCCCTTCCAGTATTTACTCAGCTAAAACTGCCACTGAAGGAAGACAAGGTCAGTTTGACATCTTCTAGGTTTTGCTGGAGTTTCAATCAGTCTGCTTTACAAACAGCTATTTAGCTGATGTTTCTTTACTTCATCTTCCCAAAGCAAGCATATCAAAGCCATCTTTGAATTAAAAATAAAACTTGCGGCAAATGACCGAATGGAATATTTTACTTTGTTTTGCTTTTTCTTTCCTCTACAGAGACATTAGGATTCCCTTATTCAAGCTACCAACCAGATGGACATTTTGATGGTTAAAACAACTGCAAAGCATTATTTTACTTTTTTTTTTTTTTTTTAACAAATGACCAGGCTGTAAGTTTGCAATTGCACAGCCGCATGATTATCAGATTACTTTCAGGTTGCAAACTAAAAGGATATAAAGAATTATGAGTTACAGAATAACATTTTGGGTTAAATTATGGCTTCAACTACTGTGGTGCATTGGGGGAAAGTGCATTGTACAGGCTCCAACATTCTGACTGTGGAAATCCTAAAGCCATCAGTGGATGCTGGTGAAGGGGGCAGCGAACAACTGCACTTGCTACACCCATTGGAAAGCTGTACATTCCTCTTGCTACCGAACTCTACAAAACATATGGTGTGGTCATATCTTTGTTCATGCTCCATTTAGATGTGGCCCTTCTAGACAGTCCTAGAGATTTTCCCTTACATTTCCTAGCTTTAATATCCCGAATGAGGGGGATGAAAAGGACTTCTTTACAGATCCCAATACAGCTCCTGCCATAATTTGGCCCCTAATATGGTTACAACTTAGTTAACAAGCCATCTGCTTTCAGACTACATGTATCTTGTAATTACAGGGCAGCATATGACTCAGAATGCAATGATATATGACCCGGTGTAGTGAAATGTCTCTCATATTGGGCTCGATCTATATCATGCTGAATATTGTGGCACTGATCCAGCAAAACCCTTAAGCACATGAATTATCCCATTCAAGTCAATGGGACTCCTGATCAGAGCCAAAGCATACAGCTTCACCTGTTATGAGCTGAAATTCAGTGCCTACAACCACCTGATGCACAAAAGGCCTGTAAAAGTATCTCATGTTTAGAAATGCTCCATAAACTTGTTAACCAATCATATTTATCTCTGATCTAATATATTCAAGTAACATGTTTTGTTTCTAAAGAGAAATTACTGTTATTGGTACCAACCACACTGGAGTTCTCCAGTGCTAAATTAATGAGCAAAGAAAATGAGTTTCTCAAAGGTTGTTGCGTTAATATCCCATCACAAACATTCATTTTCTTTGACAAGTACCAAGAGCAGAAGCTGGCAAAAAAATGTATGGGAAGGGGGTATAATCTACTGAATATATAATTTGGACACAGAGATGGAAGTCCAGACCAGTGGGGTAAGTAAGTAGCAATTTCTGTGCCGTGGGCAGAAATACCTAAGAGGAGTAGTAGGAGGGGTTTCTGGAGAATCTTACCAGACCCTGGCTGTGGCATGGGGTCCCCAACAGGGTCACTTCACTATTCTGGTGCCTCCTCTAAAATGGTATCTAGGGCTAGTGCCCCCTAATTATACTACTGGTTCTTACCATTGGCAAAAATGGCAGCCTATAACTTAACTACAGTATGTTAAAATACATTTGGAAGGGGCCTCCATCTGCTTGGAACTCATACTTACATCTGGAAATTTTAGGACTGCTAGCATTACACGTGCTACCAATACCAATACAGCAGAAAAAGATTATAGGGGGAAAATCTATCTTGTTTTTGGCCCATTCATTTTGTTCATTTGTCATCACTTTGTACGTTAGAAGTCTCATTGTTTTGTTGATGGCTCTTGATACCTCTGAAGGCAGGGTAGACACGCACTTTAGAGATTAACTAAATAAGATATATATAGAAAGCACAAGCTTTTGTGGACCCAAGTTCACTTCATCTTCTTGCTGTCATTCACTTCTTCAGGTGGAGGTCACCCCCCCCCCC